TTCAGCCGTTCGGAGGCAAGCCTTTTCAACGATTTCATCAACGATCTCTCGCTCATCGACCTCCCTCTCCGTGATCGTCTTTATACTTGGTCCAACCGACAGTCCTCTCCTGTCCTCGTTCGTCTCGATCGAGTGCTTGTTAGTGTCTCCTGGGACGCTAAGTACCCCACTTCCACCCTCTCCTCCTTCGCTCGTGCTACGAGTGACCACGTCCCCCTCCTCGCGACTATCTCCTCCACCGCCCCTAAAACCCTCATTTTTCGATACGAGAAGTCTTGGGCTTTTCACGCCTCTTTCCGTTCCGCAGTCGTTGCTGCGTGGGCTTCCGCCGGCCGCGCCGACCAAACTGCCCGCCTGGTTGCTCGCCTTCGCCAGGTCCGGCTTGCCTGTAAACGCTGGACTCGGAGGACTGCTCCGGTGGCCCAACGGGAACAAGATTGTAGGGTTCTCATCGGTGTCCTCGACCGCCTTGAGGAGAGTCGGCCCCTCTCCCCCACGGAGAATCTTCTTCGTTCTCTTACTACCGACGCGCTCCATGTCTCTGTAAAAGAGCGTGTCCTTTACTGGAAATTGCGTGCCAAAGTCCGTTATGCCGTCGCTGGTGACGAGAACACCGGCTTCTTCCACGCTTCCGCATCCTCCCGGTTCCGGAAAAACTGCATCCCTGTTCTCTCTGTCGATGGAGTTGACCTCTTCTCGCATGAGTCCAAAGCTTGTGCTCTCCGGGCCTACTATAAAGATCTTCTGGGTACGACCTCCCCGTGTACTTGGAACTTCTCCCTATCGGACCTCTACGGCAACTCTGCCACCCCCCCTAATGACCTCTCGAACCCCTTCACGTCCGAGGAAATCCGGCAGACGTTCCTGGACATGAATCGTCTCTCAAGCCCCGGCCCAGACGGGTTCGGTCCCTCCTTCTATGTCTCCTTCTGGGCCACTATCGCGACAGACGTTGAAGCGGTCTTCCATGACTTCTACTCCGGGTCTCTCGACCTCTCTCGCATTAACCGTGCCTTCCTGGTCCTCCTCCCCAAGTTTGAGGCGGCTCGTTCCCCCCCCAAGACTTTCGCCCCATTTCCCTTCAAAATTGCATCATGAAGGCGATCACCAAGGCCTTGTGCACTCGGCTGCAGCGTTACATTCACTCTCTCGTCGATCCTGACCAAACCGGCTTTCTTCCGGGTCGGCGTATTTCAGAAAACATTGTTTACGCGGCCGACCTCCTTCGTGCCTGCCACGTCCGGAAAGCCCCCACGATTGTGTTCAAAATCGACTTTCGGAAGGCTTTCGACTCGGTTAACTGGTCCAGCCTCCTTTCCGTTCTCTCAGCCCGTGGATTCAACTCCCGGTGGTGCGGTTGGATCTGAGACATTCTTTCTACAGGACACACCGCCGTCCTTCTCAACAGTATCCCTGGGGACTGGATCCTTTGCCGCAATGGCCTCCGTCAAGGGGACGCGCTTTCGCCGTACCTTTTTATTCTTGTCGCCGATGTCCTCCAGCGTCTTATTCGCTCGGCTTCCTCGGATGGGAGGCTTGCTCACCCGATTGACCCCTCGCTCCCCTGCCCTGTGCTCCAATACGCCGACGACACCCTTATCCTCTGCCGTGCGGACCCCCAGTCGGCGGCGACTCTCAAAACCATCCTTGACTCTTTCGCCCTTGCTACTGGCCTGGCCATCAACTTCCACAAGTCTGGGTTTATTCCCATGCACTGCCCCGACGATCTATCAGCCGCCATGGCTACTACCCTCGGCTGTCCCATCTCCTCCTTCCCTCAACCCTACCTGGGTCTCCCCCTCTCCCCCTGGAAACTTCCCATCTCCGCTTACGACCCTCTTATCCGCTCCTTTGACCGTTACCTCTCTGGTTGGCGTGCCCTCCTCCTGTCGTCAGGGGGTAGGATGGTCCTTTGTAATGCCGTTCTCAACAACCTCCCCACCTACTTCATGTGCTCGTACTTGCTTCCCTCTGGTGTGATTGAGTTGATTGATCGTAGGCGTCGTGCCTTTTTTTGGACCGGCAAGGATACTTGCTCCGGTGCGCGTTGTCTAATTGCTTGGGATAAAGTGTGTGCAGATGTGCAGGAAGGCGGCTTCGGGATCCGGGATCTCCGTCGGCAGAACATGTGTCTGCTCCTCAACTTCGTCCACAAGCTTCATCAACCCGACTGTCCGCCGTGGAAACGGTGGTTTCTCAGCACCACCAGGAGAGATGTTGGCGACCCCTGCTCGGCTCCTTCTTTCCTTGGGGCCATCATTCTCAGCGGCCTCCCGACGTACAGGTCTATCACCCGCGTGGATCTCCGCGACGGGCGCGCCACCTCGTTCTGGCACGACCGTTGGCGGCCCGGCCGCGCCCTCTGCTTTGAGTACGCGGCATTGTACTCTCACTCGACGCGCCCGAACGCCTCGGTGGCAGCAGTGTCCGCTGACGGTCTGCACCTCCAGAGGCGCCTCTCCTCCGTTGCCGCTTCCCAGCTTGCGGCTGTGCAGGCGATCATCAGTGACCTTGGGCTTGTGGACGCTCCGGATCGTCGACTCATGGCCTGGGGGGAGGACGTGGAGTTCAACTCGCGCGCCGCGTTCAGGGTCATGCCCCCCCACGGGGTGCTCTGCCAGTCTTCCATCGACATCTGGAGTTCGCGTCTCCCGCAGAAGATCAAGATCTTCGCGTGCCTTCTGGTCCGGGACCGCCTTAGTACCCGGAAGAACCTGCATGCGAAGAGTTGCACCCCCTCCAGCACGTGCGCCTCCTGCCCCAACGAGGAGTCCACTTCTCACATCTTCGCCGCCTGCGGTCGTGCGGTTTCGACCTGGACTCGCCTCGGTCTGGGCCCTTTCCCCTCGGTGGATGCGATCCTCGCCTCTCCCTCGCCGTCCGCCGACGTGGCTGCGTTGTGGAAAGATGGGCTCTACGTGCTTCTCTGGCAGATCTGGAAGGCCAGGAACAACGCCACCTTCAACAACATACGCTGCACCGCCTGTGATATCCTCGCGAGGACGGCCGACGACCTCCTGGTTTGGAGCAGGCGCTATGACGCTCCGTCTCGGGATCGACTTCTGGCCATCCGACTTTTCTTTCTCTCAGTCCTCTAGACTGCCTCATGGCGGGTTTCTCTTTTTTTTTCCGCTTCTTATCATGTTGTTTTTTATCTTTTCGATGAAAAACACTGTATGACTGCCAGGTCC